ACCCTTCAGTAGGGACATCTTCCCTGAACCTGATGTCACACCACTCACACACATTGGTGACGATGCTAGTGAAAATTAGCCCTGCCTCTGGGCCAGGTAATCCTGACACTGAGCTGTGGCAACAGATGGTTCTGATAGATAAGCCCTCCATTGTTACAAACATGAAATTCCTGCTGCCTGTTTGTTTCTTCACTCAATTTCTTGCCTGTTAAACACAGTTAAATCATCCCAGACGCCCACCTACTCCCAGCATAGTCTCCTGCTGTTGTAATGTCAAGTTTCTGAGTTCCACAGAAACCGAGCAGGTCCTTCCAATCAACTCAGCCATTTGTAGCTGGAAATATCACACATACTCACAGTTATGGGTCAAAGGCCAACCTCAGCCTGCAGAAATGAACTCCATCACTTTCCAGGTGACCAGGTCCTGGACATGGCTCGTGTGACAGAGTTTCCTGTTCTCCTGATCCTTGGACAGCAGAGAGTTCACACCTAAGCCCACAGTGCTGAGATATCTCCCTGGGAACGCAGCTCAGGCCTGGGCTGCACCACTCTCCCTGAGCGAGGACCCAGGGAGATGTGCCCAAGTGAGGGCTGGGCTGGACAGGCTGCACTCAGAGCTGGCTCGAGATCCATCTGCTCTTGCTGACTTCCAGCTCACCATCAGCACTGAGCAAACTACAGCTCCAGGAGAGCCTTCCTTGTCACCTAGGCCAGATCAGGGGACTGTCTTCTTACTTCATGACATTGATCCCAATTTCTATAGTTGGGAGCCATGTTTTCTGGAACTCTAGCTGCAGAAACATCCAGGCAATGGCATTGCTTGACAGGAGTCATTTACTGATCATTTCGTATTTTTAAGTTAGGCCATTGTAGTAATGGAATTGAATGTCTTTCTCTGCCTCCCAACCTTGTCAGAGCCATAAACAGGGATCATGACAACCCCTGGCCAAGGAGAAATCCAGAAGGTAATGTGATAACTCAGATGGATTCAGGTGTTGCCTTTCTCCTGTTCAGAGTTTGGGTGCCCACTGTAGGGTTCCCTAGAACTGAACAGCTTTCCCACCCATAGTTTTTGTTATATATATGGCTTTCTCTTCATGTCTGTGCAGGAAGGCAAGTACACATGAAGGAAAAGCTGGGTCCTGGGTTCAAGTCACAGCAGTTCACTGTGCTGTGGCTGAGGTTGCTTAGTGCTGCCTGGGAGCAGCCCAACAAACGGGACTGAGTGAGTCAATCAATCCCTGGAGGGAAGTTGCGGGAGTAACAAGCAGGGCTTGGCAGGCAGCAAAGGCAACACTGAGGGGATCTTCTGAGGCCTGAAGACCTCAGCTCACTAGGAGGGACCTTGACAGACTGATAGAGCAGGCTGCTGGCTGAGTGTGGAAATTTCCTCTGCTGATGGCTTCTCTTCCCTCAGAACACAGGACAGAAACTAAGGTCATATTACTAAATTTCAGTTTAATGGCATTGGTGCTGATGAAACAAACAACTGTGACCGCTCAGCAGGGTTTGAAAGCAGGACTTTTGTGATGTTATTAAACTTGACTTTGTGGATAAGATAAAACGGTCAGAGATTGATTCAACAAATTAGTTGTTGCCCAAAAATTTCAAAAGCAAAAATCCTTAAGAACATTTGTTGGCCCGCTGCCCAGAGGCTCTGAGGAGAGGCTCTCTCCTGCTGCTATCCCTCTTCTGTCAGTGGCTGCTTGAAGATCTGGCCCCTCAAGCACCTCCCTTACCCCAAGCCTGTGCTGCCCCATGCGCCTCCTGTCTCCTCTGAGCTCTCCCCACCCCCACCTTTCCTTGTCCCCCAGCTGGCCATCCTCCCCTCACCAATAGCTTAGACTCGTGAAAGAACAGACTCTTGACCTTCCCACCTTACCCATGCCTAGCCTGACTCTGAGAGCCACTAACTTGCCACCCTTTTGAGGGCCAGCAGATTTTCTTCCACACCTAGAACACCAGTGCTTGGCAATAGTCAGAGGCATCATTGCTCTCTTCTAAGTCATTTCATTTTCCCCCATCTGCAAATAGCAGCACTCCTGTGATGCCCTGAGGCCTTTACCCCCCTCATGGACGTGCCACCCCTGATACTCAGTTCCTCCCACCCCAGGCCTCCCAGGCTTCCTCGTCTCTGTTGCCCAGGATCTCTGCACTCAGCTACAATGATGAACAACAGGACCCAGAACCCTGTACTTAAAAATGGTGACTATGGTAAGCTTCATGTTCTATGTTAGCACAATAAAAGAGAGGAAGGAAGGAAGGAAAGGAGCGAGGGAGGGGGGAAGGGAGGAGCAGCTGCTGACCCCAGTTCCTGGAGGAAACGATAGGCTGTGTTTATTTGCCAGGGAGCTCATTGTGTCTTTGTCCCTATGGAAGAAAAGCTGTGTTAAGGCAGATGTGGTTGAGTAGTCGTTCAAGTGCTAGAACAGTGCCTGGTAAACAACAGACGTTTTTGTCTATAAGTGCTTTTTTATTGATTAAATTTATTTTTAATTGACACATAAAACATAAAATTGTACATATTAACAAGGTGTCATTTGATGCTTCAAAATATGTACTCATTATATAATGTTTAAATCAGAGTAAACATATCTATCTCCTCAAATGTCTATCATTGCTCTATGATGAAACATTCAAAGTCCTTTCTCCTGCCTTTTGGGATGTACTGTACATATTTATTATCTATAATTACCCTTTTCAAGTGACAGCACCCCAGAGCTTCTTACTCTAACTGGAACTGGACTGGAACTAGCTTAACCAACCTTGCTCAGCCCAGCCCAGCCCCATTGCCTCCCCAGCCTCTGGCAACCACCACTTAACTCTCAGCTTCTATGAGATCAGCATTTTCAGATTCCACCTATGAGTGACATCCTGTAGCACTTGTCTTCCTGAGCCAGGCCTATTTCACTTAACATAATGATCTCTACTTCTATCCCTGTAGAATAAAAGTATTTTCTTTACTAGTCGCTTGTCTATTTGTTCATTTGATTGTCTGGCTCCCCAAATGGACATCAGTTCTATATGGCTCGCCTTTGGATCCACAGTACCTAAACCAACCCAGTGGTAAGGAGTTCCATGAATGCGCGAATGTTCCCTGACCGCAAGTGTGAGCTCTTCTCAAGAGTGCTGTGCAGACACAAGGGAGGGGTGAGGATAGGTAAGACACCTAAAAAATAGCTAGCATTTGTTGCCCTTAACGCAGAGAAACTAAAGCAGATACCTTAAAGCAACTGAGGCCAATAGGAAAAGGGGACCAGGAACTAGAGAAAAGGTTAGATAAAAAGAATATAACCAGAACGGTAACACCACGCACTAGGAAATCTCTGTGAGTCAATGCCCTTATAGCTATCCTTATGCTCAACCAAGCAAAAACCCTTTGTTTCCTTCCTATTATTGCTTATTACTTCCTCGTCTTCAACCAAAATAGAAATAAGGGCAAAATAGGTTTTGTGGTATTGGGGGAGCGGGAGGGGGTGGAGTGGGTAGGTAAGGGCTGGGGGGTCAGGGGGGAAGAATGAACCAAGCCTTTATGCACATATGAACAATAAAAAAAAAAGAAAAGAAAACAAACTTAATAAAAATTTTAACCCATCTTTTAAAAAAAAAAAAAGACTGCCGTGCAGAGTCCTGAGTAGGACCAAGGGCTCCTCCCCTGGCAGTGGCACCCTTAGGAGCCCAAACTAGGAGCTGCCAAGACAGCCTCCAGTCCTGAACCTGTCACTGACTTGTGGTACTGGGCAAGTGCCTTAACCTTTTCATCAACCACACAAATTGAAAAATATGGGAGGGGATTAGATCAGGGCTTACCTCCCACTCTGCTTCTAAAACCTTTTCTCCCAGAAGCCTTAAAATATAAGACCACATCAGGCAAGTTGCACTGGTGATGGAAGGACCAGTGATCTGATTCTCTCTTCTCAATTTCCCCTCTAACCCTGGGTCAGTTCTTGAAGCAATGCTGGAGGCCAGGAATTCCCCAAACCCAGTTTGGAAACCACTGGTCTGGTCACTCTTGGTGACCCCCCTGGAGACCAGCTAACTCTTTACTCACTCAAAGGCCCCAGACTGAGTCACCACCCTAGTGAGTGTAAAGTCACCACCCCAGTAAAGTGAGAGCGATCAGCCTAAACCTGCCCACCTAGTGAGCCCATGAGGGAAACAGATGAGGTGCAGACATGGACAGGCTCACAACACTCTCGCAAGTCTCTATGTTATTTCACAACCTCAGACATACTGGGATATGCAGAGAGATAAATACATGAAGCACACCTACTTGGCAGTCACCTTCAGGGGTGGAGTGGCTCTTAAAGCAAATACCACCTTACCTGGATAACTAACACACCTGGACAGGTACAATAGGGACTTCAAAGCAGGTCAGTGAGGCGCTTTCCTGCTTCCCCTGATCACACCCATAAACATGCACCAATTCCAATATCCTCTCCAGAAAAATCCATTGTCGAATGGAGGGGACAAAGCTCCTGATTTGCCCCCTCCCCAGTCAATGGCAAACCTACGGGGCAGAGCTAAAACTATAGACTCATGTGGCATCATTGCATAATGGAACTGCAGCTGATGCTGATTTTAATATTTTTTTTTTTTTTTTACGACAAATCAGTTTGGCCACTGGCAGCAAAGGTGGGGCCACCATGTCCTTCCCAGCCACACTCTAGGACAAAGGAAATCAAAACAGAAGAGCTTGGAAGGATTAGCATTGGCTCCCAGTGTCTGCATTCCGTTCCATTGATGACATAGACATAAGCCTTATTCAGCATCTCACGGCATGCAAACTTAGCCAGTTCTTGTTCAGGCACATCAACAGGTTATTTCTAAAAACTCTAAGCATGAGTTGCTGATTGTTACTATGTTTTACAACTTGTTAGGTGAGGGAGGAGGAGCGAACCTCAGTATTTGAGTGCACATGTTAGGTCTATCATCTGCAGCCATCTAGATGCTAGGGAAGGGGCAGAAAGGCCAACCATGCAGAAGTGCACGCCCTGTACCTGCAGAGGTTCAGGCTTTGGAGGCCACAGGATGACATTATGTGAGCCGACATCCTCCTGCTGAAAGCAAAGGGGTCTCACTGTTAGGACAGGTCGTGGGGAACAGGGACCTCACAGGACCGCTGGTTTCTATTCCCAAGTTGAACCTGTGCAATGTGGTTCTGCCATGCCCATGTCTTCCAGGTGAAATCAGACAACAGTGGGAGAGGAACCTATAGCCTGAGGGTGTAGGAAGCCGACCAGAGCCAGGCCTGGGCTGACTTACCCTCATCCTTTGCCCTGGGGATATGGCTGGTTTTCAAGGCCTGGTTGTAAATCTATGAACAGAAGGTTCCTTCAGAATTGCATCTTTCCTTCCAAGAGTGCACTTTTAAGCAGAATACAGGGACAACCAAGTGCACCTTCACAGACAGAAGCCTGGGTGGGATATGGTCGTGTGTGGAGGCAGGGAAATCAGTTCAGAGGTGTTAGTGATGGTCCAGGTGTGAAAGGAAAGGATGGTGGGGACAGGAAGGGGAAAAACTTATACAAGATAACATAATGGATCCGTGTTTCTGTCCTATGAGAAACTGCTCCAAGTTGCGCCCACCTGTGTCCCATAGGGGTGCATGACTTGAGCTGGCTGTCAGACTGTCCCATAGTCTGGGCACAGTGTTGGAACCCAGAGAGGGCACAGGTCACAATCAGTACTGGTCTGATTCCATCATGGGGCAGATGGGGCTAGACCATTGGCTGTGAGAAGCATGGCGTTTCCAGGGCACCCTTTCTTTTCTATCAGGCTGAGGGCACTTCCTTCCTGGACACTGAGGAATTACAGAGGAAAGTAGAGCAAGATCCAGAGAGGAGAAACTCTGGACTCAGCCAACATTACAGCTAGAGCCAATGCGTTTCACAATTCTATATGTGAATAATCCCCTTTTCTTCCTATGGTCCTGGAGATGAGCTTCTGTCTCTTGCAACCCTATAAGGTCCGAATTAAACAGAAATTCAGGAGGCTAAATGTCTAGGCCATTAATTAAACATAGGAGGTAGCCATGGGCAGTCAGGTGTCCCCCAGGTTTTGGTCTTGGATGGCGAGATAGATCATGGTACCCAGGAGGGGGAACACAAGAGGAGGAGCCGAGTCAGAGAGAGAAGCTGAGGTAGGTTTAAATACTCTGGTGGCTGTGTGTCACCCTAATAGAGATATCCAGGGGATGTGGAAAGCTGGGCCTGGAGCCCCAGCTCCATGGGGTACCCTTAAGTCTGCAGCCAAACACACCCATACTTTGTTCCTGTTTGTTTTGCTATGGAAGGCAAATCCATTGACTAAGACCGGGCTGAGGTTGGAGATGTGAACCTGTGTAGAGCAGGAGAGCATTCCCTGTGTGCTCCAGGAGGGGAGAGACTGAGCATGGGCTGGAGGTGGCAGGACGACGTGGGGAGTAAAGACAGGTAAAGTGGGACCAGAGTGTTTAATCCCTCCCTCCCCCACACCCAGCATTTTCACCTTTGTATTTAGTAAAACCCTGAAGCGTTAACATAGACCTTTCTGTGAGGTCACAGTGGGGTGGCCCTCATGCTTTGGTGAGCCAAGTGGAAGTTGGCTTTGCCTCTCTGGAAATTATATAGCAACAGCCTTCAGGAAGCCCTCACTCTTCATTTGACACAGCAATTCTATTCCTAGAACCGTGCCAGGTGAACAGTAAGCATTCCATTCTGGACAGTGTGGTTTAGTAACGGCGAGACAGCATAAGTCATCCTAAATTTTGCCTGAATTGAAGTTGAAGTTCATTTTGGGTCAGGGAGGTTTACCCACCACTCCTAAGAGTTCTATTAAAGTAATTAAGGCCAATGTTCCTCTGTTGTAGGGTTTCTTAACCTTGGCACTGTTGACATTTTAAACTGGATCATTCTTTGTGGGAAGCTGTTCTGAGAAACCCTGATAGCTACCTACTAGATACCAGCAGAGCCTTGCATCTCAGTTGTGACAACAAGAAAATGTCTCCAGACATTACCAAATGCTTCCTGCAAAGCAAAAAATCACCCCAGATCAGAACTACTAGTCCATCCTGTGTGTAGCAAGGAGTGACCTGCAGGGAACTTGGGGTCCAGACAGATCTATAAGACCTCAGGGAAGGGGTTGAAGCTGAGCTGTTTGGTTTCTTAGTGAGGAGGAGTAAGGCCCAAAATTTGTCCAGTCCTTAGTAGAGCCTGTGAAGGGCTCTCAGCCGATGGCCGTGACCTCTTCCACTCAAGCACACTCAAGCACAGAAGGGAACATTCCCATAAGGGGAAATTCCAAAAAGGGTGGCCTGAGCTGACCCAACAGCAGGCAGCTTTGTTGGGTCCCCAGAGTGTTTAAAAATAATTGAAGTTGGTTGCTAGTATCTTTTAAAATGCAAGATTTCTTTTACACAATCTTCTAGAAAGTAGAATAAGCACTTCTCAACTCATTTTGTGGGGCTAATATTATCTGCATACCAAAACCAGACCAAAAACAAAACAAAAAACAATAGAGCAGTATTTCTTAAAAATTTAGGACAAAAGTCCTCAGCAAAATATTACCAAATTGACTTTAACGAGGTGTCAAAATAATTATATACTGTGACCAAGTGGGATTTATTCCAGGTGTGCAAGGCAAGTTCCACATTTGAAAAGTTGATCAGCATCATATTAATGGGCCAAAGAAGAAAATATATTATTATAATGACTGATGCAAGAGAAAGCATTTGACGCAATCCAACCCATTCATGATTTTTAACAATCATAAGCAGACTAGAATATAGAAGAACCTCCTCAACTTGATAAAGGGCACCTATCAAAAGGAAGAAACTAGAGCTAATATTTTACTTAATACGAGCTTTCCCCTTGACATTGGGAACAAGGGAGCGTGTCCATTCCCACTGCTCTTAATTAGCAGAGCAATGGGAGTTCTGTAATAAGGGGAAAAATATGCAGAATGGAAAAAAGAGAAATAAAGTTGTCTTGATTTGTAAATCCCAAGAAATTAATGACAACAAAACACCTTGGAACTAATAATTGAGTCATCAACGCCATAGAATACATCAGCACACAAAGCCCAAAGTGCTGACCAAAATAACAAACACATACCACTTATAGTCACTCCAGAGAAAGTGCAACACCTAGGGATAAACTTGACAAGATACATGCAATATCTATTTGCTAAAGATTACAAAACAATGATGAAAAAATTTAAAGATGACCTAAATGAGTGGAGAGACATACTATGTGTTCATGGACTAGAATTCTCAACAGAGTAAAGTCAGTGTTCCTTGAATTAAGCTACGGATTTAATGTAATTCCTATCAAAATCTCAGTAAGATTTTTTTTCGAGATGTAGGTTTATTCTACATATAGGAAAACCATAGATTCTAGAATAGCTAAAACAATTTGGAAAAGAACAAAGTGGGAAAAATTACTCTCTCTGGCCTCATGACTTATTATATAGATACAGTAATTGAGAGAGTCTGTGGAGAGAAGCAGGGAAACCAGAAACAGACCCTCACAAATATGCCTAACTGATTTCTGACAAAGATGCAAAAATGACTCAGTGGAAAAGCATTCCAGGGGAACAAGAACAGTCTTTCCAACAAGTGGTGCTGGAGACGTGGACATTAATGGGCAGAACACCACCAAACACCAAAAAATGAACCTCGACCTCAAGACAATGAAAAGCCAAGCCACAGACTGGGAGAAAACATTTGCAAAAAGCACCATCTGAGAGAGGACTGCTACCCAAAATAAACAAAAGTCTCTTACAACTCAACTGTACTAATGCCAACAACCTGACTGAAAAATGGGCCAAAGATTTTGCCACCTCATGGAAGAGCTTACAGGGGCAAGTAGCATATGAAAAGCTGCTTCCCGTCGTATGTCATCAGAGGAATGCAAAATGAAGCAACAGTGAGGTATCACTGCACACCTAGAAGGATGACCATGGACCATACCAAATGCTGGTGACCAGGTAGACCTGCAAGGGCCATTGTTGGTTGTGAGAATGCGAAAATGGGACACTGCTTTGGCAGGTTCTTACAAAACTAAACACACCCTTACCATGTGACCCAGAAATTGCACTCTTCAGTGTCTACCCAAAAGAATGAAAACTTAAATCCACACAAAACACTGCACATGAACGTTTGTTGCAAGTTTGTTCAATACTTAGAAGCAACCAAGATGTGCTTCAATGGGTAAGTAAACTGTGGTGCATCGAGAAAACAGAATATCATTCAATGCTGAAAAGCAATGAGCTGTCCAAGCATGAAAAGACATAGAGGAATCTTAAATGTGTATTGCCAAAGGAAAAAGGTCAATCTGGAAAGACCACATACTGTATCATTCCAGAATGGGACATTCTGGAAAAGTTAAAGAGTAGGGGGACCATGAAAAGATTTGCAGTTGCCAGGGGCTGAAGGATGAGTAAGGGCTAAGTACAGAGGACTTTTCGGTCCATGAAATTATCCCATACAACACTGTAATGGTGGATACGTGTTGTTAGTCACTTGTCAAAATCCACAGAATATACTTCAAGAGTGAAACTGGCTGGGTGTGAGGGTGCATGTCTGTAATCCCAGTCACTTGCAGGTGGAGGCAGGAGAATTCCAAGTTTGAGGTCAGCTAGAACAAAGTTAGTGAGACTCTGTCACAAAGAAAGTAGAGTGTGTTGGGGCCATAGGTTCAAGTGGTAGAGTGTTTGCATAGCAAGCACAAGGAACTTGGTTCAATCCCCAGTGTGCAAACAGAAAAAAATAAAAAGACTAAAATTATGTAATGTATGGACATTGGGTGATAAGATCTGTCGATTTAAGTTCATCAGTTGTAACAAATGTACCACAGTGGTAGAAGGTGCTGATAGTAGGGGTATGTGTGTGTGGGGATAGAGAACATAAGGGAAATACCTGCACTGTACTCTTAATTTTGCTATGAACTTAAAACTACTCTAAAAATAAAAAAAGTTTTTAAAGAAAGAAAAGTCATGAACACCAACCAAAATCTTATACCCTACACAAAAATTAACTCAGAATGTAAAACTTCAAAATTTTAGATAAAGCATAAGAGAAAATCTTTAGGATGTAGGAATAGGCAAAGAGTACTTGGTACCAAAAGTGCTACCCATAAAAGGAAAAGCTGGTCAATTGAACCTCATCAGAGTTAAAAATTTTTGTTTTTTAAAAGACCCTGTTAAGAAGATAAAAAGGTAAGTTACAGAATGAGAGAAAATATCTGCAAAGCACAATCTGACAAAGGACTGCTATCTCTATAAAGACCTCTTCGAATCCAACACTAAAACAATAGCAATATGATAATACAATTAGAGAACGGGCAAAGACAGGAATACATTTTTCACCAAACAGCACCCTCGCCTCATCCACAGAGGATAGGTTGCAAGACCCCAGCTGATGCCTAAAGCCATGGGTGGCACCAAACCCTGTATTTATCATGCTTTTTTCTATATGTATGTACCTAGGATGAAGTTTAATTTAGAAGTTAGTCAAATAAGAGATTAACAATAATAACGAATAATTAAATGTAATTAGAGCAATATACTGTAATAAAAGCTATGTAGCTGTGGTTTCTCTTGGTCTTGAGTATCTCATTGTGCTGTCCACACACTCTTGCTTGTGACAAAGTGAGATGACACAGTGCCTAGGTGATGAGATGGAGAGAGGAGAACAACACAGGCATTGTGATGTAGCCTTAGGCTACTGAGTAAGGGCTGCTTGAACACAAGCTCTTCAACACTGTGACAGTTGATTTGATAACTGAGACTGTTCCTAAATGACTAATGGGTGGGACTAGTGTGGACAGCTGGATCTAGGGTGATATTCACCCTGCCCTGGACAGAGCAGGATGGTGGGAGAGTTCATCACGCTACTCAAGACAGCACATAATTTACAACTTACGAATTGTTTAATTCTGAAATTTGCCATTTACTATATTCAGAACACACTTGGCCATGAGTAACTGGACTTCAGAAAGAGAAACCAGTGATGTGGGGGAACTACGTCAAAGGCAGCAGATAAGCACGTGACTGTTTTTCAGCATCATTATCCAGAAGGCCAAAAATGAGGCATCACAACACATCTAACAGCAGGCGACATCAAAGACAACACCACCAGGTGGTGGCCAGGGCAAGGGGAACTGGATCACGTGTAAGTTGCTGGTGGGAATGTAGCATGGTCCAGTGATTGGGAAACATTTGTCAGTTTCTTATGAAACCAAACATGCAACTATCATTTGACCCAACAATGGCATTCTTGGTGTTTACCTTCAGAGAACTGCAAATGTACAGTCACCAAAAAATTCTGTAAAAAAAAAGTCTTTTAGATCCAGTTTTCTCATTCATAACAGCATCATTTGTAGTAACCAAAAATTAGAAACAACTAAGATGTGCTTCGATGGGTGAATGATTCAGGTGCATATGATGGAAGCCATTCCACACTAGAAAGGAATGAACACTGATGAACACAATGATTTGGATGTGTCTCACAAGAATTCTGCCTGGGGAAGAAGACCAATCCTAAACTGCCACACACTGCCTAATGCTATCTAGCTATATAATATTGTTGAAATGACAAAATTACGAATGCCATTGGTTGCTGGGGTTAGGGGTAAGGAATGAGAGGGATGTGGGTGTGGCTATAAAAGGCAACCAGGCATCTTCCTGGTGATGGAAATGTTCTGTAATCTTGACCGTCTCAACACCAGTGTCTGGGGTGTGATAATGTAGAAGACTCTTACAAGATGTTGCCCTTGAGAGACACAAGGCAGAGGGTCCATGGGATCTCTCTGTGTTTTGTTTTGTTTTGTTGCAGTGCTGGGGCAGAGCCTACACCTTGAGTCACTCCACCTGATCTTTTTTGTGATGGGTTTTTTCGAGATAGGTCTCACGGAACACTGAACTATTTGCTCGGGCTGGCTTCCAACCACGATCCTCCTGATCTCGGCCTCCTGAGTAGCTAGGATTATAGGTGTGAGCTACCGAGCCCGGCAATCACTGTTATTTTTCAAGTGCATGTAAATCTACCATTGTCTCTTATTTTAAAATTTAATTTAAAAACCTCCTATAGACCTCATAGAAAAATATAGGTTTCTGACTTCTTTTGGAGAAATGAGAAAATCCTGTGGCATCGGTCCACTCTTCCACACAGTGGCCAGGAGGTGATGGTGGCCTCCTCCTTTAGACCACAGCCATAATTTGGCCATAGTCCCTACCTCTCCCTATAGTCCCACACCCACAATTACTGCTTCTTGCCTGCCTCTAGAATCCCTGGAGTTTTGCCACCTTTTCTTTTGGTGATTTCTGTTTTCCTAATTGAGAAAAGAAGACCACCAGGGAGAAAAGGGAAGTGAGAAAACGAACTGCAGTTGACTGCTTTTCAACCCAATTTCCTCATTCAAAGAACTCAGTACACTGATCCAAAATCTCTGTTGTGTGTGATATAAACGGGAAGGTGTTGCCCAACTTCATCCACCAGGATATCAAGTTAATATCCTCAGAACTTAAAGTGGATACTGACAAAACTTGGGCATGTTTTATTCTCCCAGCTCTATTGGTGCACAAAGAAGCAGTTAAAAGTCATTTGTCAGCAGTGAAAACTTGCATAAAATGAGACTAACAGTTCACATTTAATCTGCTCAACACTGATGATTTTAAATCATTTTAAATGACCATAACTTTATTTAGGGGAGAAGCATGGGAAAAGGTTTTATTTTAACCTCCTCTGCTGAATTCATGGGAGTTGATGGTGGGTGCTATCTGGGGAGAAAAGGTGCCAAATTCTCATAATGTCAGTTTTTAAAGCACAGATTAAAAAGTAGTGTTCATGGTTTATAAAAGTAGAGCCAGCTTTAATCTGAAGAGAATTGGGACACAGGGAGTGAGTGCTTCTCAGGTGCGCCATGCTGCGTGGAGGAGGCAGAGGCTATCTTCCCTGCTCCTTCCAGGGCAGAGACCAGATGTTGGGGAAGCAGAGGGAGAGTGCAGTCAAGGTCAGTTAAGAGAGCTGAGCAATTGGAGGTAGACATTTCCTGACACCCACCTGGTGGTCCGAGGTGCTGTTCTCATTGCCCATGGTGACTCAGGGGTGCCCAGTGTCCCTCAGAACGTTGTCAAAGTCGACTGGAAGAAAAGAAAGTGTGCAAACATCTATAAAGTTGAAGAGGATTTGAGGCTTTCCGTCTGCTCATTCCTCCAGCTCAAAGCCGGGTGATGGTAAAAGCTTATCCCTGCAGCCACATCAGGGGAAACTACTTTTGAAGGGGTTTCATTTGCAATGTGCCACCCAGACTTCTTTCCCAATATGGGCTGGTGTTTTTTACTCCCCGCCCTGGGGTTGGCAGACTCTCTGGAAGGCGAGTTTGTTCCTGAGACTGGGTTAACTCAGCCAGCGTGCACAAAGACGCATGTACACAAACAGAGTGACAAAAGGGGGCCATTTGCCAAAGCCCTTGGGAAGCGCTGCTCCCCACAGTATTTTCTGTTTCTAATTGTGCTGAGCTTGGAAGCTCAGCGTGGCTGGCTTCTCACTGTTTGTTGGTGACAGCAGAGCTCGGTGTCAAACATTAGAAGGCGTGAAATCTACTTTTCTTCAACAACATATGGTTTTCATATTTTTGACTCTAAACACTTGTTTCATCAAATCAGTTTCACTGCTGCACATGTTTTTGTGAATGCAGAAGAGTTTTCTTGCTGAGGAAAATAGGTAGCTGCAGCCACACAAGGAATAAACCATCACAAAAATCTGCCAAGACAACTAGAATCATTTGGTGATGCTGCTTATTAAGGACTGTCATAATTAGTGTGCTTCCCACGCCGCTCACGGACAGACCTGCCCTTGACTCACGGCATGCACTTGAGTTCATGAGACTCTATAGCACAAGCAGGACCCAGCTGTTACTTTCACTTTTTCTACATGGAGCAAATAGAAAACTTTAAAAACTATAGCCTTTCAGAGGTGCTGCAGAGATTTCCGGTCTAGTACAATAGGGAAACTGAGGCTGGAGAAGGCAAGGAGTCTGCAAAGACTCAATTTGGGGAGGGCAAAAACTGGAAATAGATCTGTCTCCTGCCTTCTAATTCAAGATTTGCCCCCATGGCATAGGGATTTTAACATAGTATGTCTTCAGAATACTTGAAATCCACCCACTCGCTTATTCACTCAACCAACATTGATGGAGTAGCCAATATGTTCCAGGCATACTGAGCAATCATTGGAAAAGAAAATGCAAATATTTGAGCAGTCCTAACTAAAATGCCTCCAAACTGAGAAAACTGCAAGTGATGTCACCCCAATGTTCAATTACCTTGTCCCTAACTCCTTAATATTTTCTCACCATTTTCTGTAGACGCACACATATACACATTTACACCCCTCATGCTCACTTATAGAACTTAAACTCTTCATTTATTTAAAAGCGATCACTTCAGTTTATTTTTTCTGTTCATTTAGAAGATAATTCCTCATTGGAAAATTATGCTGAGTGTTACAATCACTGTGCCCTTATCAATTATTAACTTCCTTGTACCTGCCAGGTTGAACCATGTGACATTTCATGTCATATGGTCCCATGTAATGGGAAATTTTGACACTCCTTCACCAAATAAATTGTAATTCCATTAAAAATCAGATCATCTGAACTACCTTTTTGAACAGACTAAAGAGAATGGCAAAACTGGGGAACCGTAAGTTTCAGTTCCACAGGGGAAGTCCTGACTGTGTGGGAGCCCAGGACAGAAACTCCCACCACTCAGCTTCCCGGGACCAGAAAGGAAGGTGTGCCCAGCTCTGCTTCTCCTTACCTCTGGGGGCAGTCCTGACGTTGGAGGCTGCAGCACACGGAAAGTCTGCTTTTCAGCAATTGCAATTTCTCCTCCTCCATCTGAAGGCATGTGAGCTCTAAGCCCAAGCCCTGCCCCGCCTTTGCCAGCCAGGCAAATAACCTGTCTGTCTCCACCTTGGCGCTAGCACAAACCAGCTCTGCCTCATACCTGCGCTGAGGTGATGGGAATCTTCCTGCCCACTTGTGGTCTGTATCTCCTAGCCCATTGCTAGGGGCTTTTCTTTCACACACAGGGGGTTTGCCTGGTGTACACCAGCAGGGCTCTTTCAGAAAAGGCTTATCCCCACTAAAGTGGCCCCTGCACTCTGATTGGTTGAATCTAGCAGGACCATCCTGGCCCAGGAGCTCAGTGCCAAGAGTCTCTAATGATCCTTTGGTGTGGAGAACAAACCTCTCTTTCTAGAAAAGAGTCAGTCAAATGCCCACAAGGCTTCTTGTGTGCACCTGGGAAAATTCCACTGCAGATACTATGGAAAGACAAAGAGGACTTGTGGAAATACGATGACCTGTCGAGCTGGCACCTGTTGTTGTGTGCAGAATGTACTCACCCAGGCGTGGCTGGGGTTTCAGCAAGTGAAGTCATAAAAAGTAGCAGGTGTGCCCTGATTGCTGCTAGATGACCTACCCATCCCTGTGAACTTAGGAAGACTGTTGGCACCCACCCAAAGACCCTCCTGCCTCCAAGGAGTCCTCCAGTTGAGAGAGAGAGAAAGAGAAAGGGGAGGGGGGTAAGCCTTTTATTTAATGGAATCTCCTGCAGAAGCCCTTGGCCCTGCAACCAGGTGGGACCACTCAGTGAAAGAAATCAGCATTTCATCAAAGGCGCAAAGGTTTCCTAGATACTGGCACAAGTGGCTCATGCCAGTAATCCTAGCTACTCAGGAGGCAAAAGAGATCAAAAGGACAGGATCACTTTAGTGGGCATAAACCTCTTCTGAAAGAGCCCAGCTGTTGTACAACAGACAAAGCCCCTGTGTGAAAAGCCCCAAGTGATGGACTGAGAGATGCAGACCCCACACGGGCAGGAAGGCTCCAGGTCAGGCATGACCACTACCAAGGTCATGTCATGGACGGGCCTGATTGGGCAGCTACCATTGCTGCCTCCACAGTGCCTACTGGCATCACTGTTGGTCCCAGTACAGGCTCCTGGGCACAACTGTTAGAACCACCATGACTGTGGCTGCTGGACACTGGTCATCACCTCTGATACCTGCCCCATATCTACTGCACTGGTTTCTTATCTGGCACCACAGACTGCCCCTGCTTGCAAGGAGAAAAGAGCAAATCAACATGCAGACTTTCAGCTGCCATCCCAGGTGCTGGGGCTGTGTTTCTTATGATAGATTGACCAGGGACAGGGAACAGACAGATCCAGAAGCTGGGCACTAGAGAATCCAGAGTGCTCCCACTCCTCAGCCATGACCCCCTTTCCAATGGCAGTACCTGGATGGGACCCCAGCATCAGTCTCTGTGACTTACCACTGTCTACATGGATGCATATCGATTCAACTTCTTCTACATGTGGCTTCCTGTAACCTACCATCATGCAGCCGACCAGCTCTCCATCCCTCCAGTGGATGGGTCAGGACGTGTGTTTGTGGATTTACTCACTTGTCTTTGGGGACAGCCTCATTTAGAAGGCAGCAGAGGGCTGGGATTATGAACCAGACCCCAGGTTCTGCAGTGTGAATACCAACTCAACTGCTCGCTTGGTGCATAAACTCTGGCAAGCCCTTGAATTTCTCTGTGCTCAATTTTGTCAACTCTAAAATCATAATATCTACATGGATAGATGAGTTAATTTCTCCGAAGCTATTGGAAGAGATCAGATATTTCATAAAATGTTCGTTGTTATATTATTGCTGACAGGGGTCTCTTGGAGTCTACAAAAGCAAATTCCTCCATAAAAAGTCTATAACTTCTGTTTTCCCCTACAGTAAAATCATGAATTTCAGATGCTATTAACTAGAAACACGTCATATCTACAATAAAAGCACAGCTAACGGATTTGTGCACTGGCAGAAAAAAAAAAGTTTGAATAAGGACATTAATAGCATAGACCAAAGGAGTAGAAAGTATATGCTTTTGACAAACCTTTTTCATTGAAATACTTGCTGAGCTAGTGGCACATCATTCTAGTCCAGACCCTCAACGTGGTTACTGCTGGATGTCAGGTGTTAGCTTAGAGTTATCCAGAGTCCTTGGAACAAAACTACATTTAAAAAAGGACTTATGCATTTAATTAATTCAAGATGTTTGGCCACAGATAAGGCTGAATTCCCAGATTTATTGTTTGTTCCATAGCCAGCTAAAATAGAACTAGTCTCTCATCTTAATCTTAAATCAGTCTTAATCTTAGTTTTAAGTTTTAATTTAAATTTCGTTTGTTTCCTGTTTTAAAAGACCATCAGTTTTATTCTCCTCTGGGTATAAACGAGGACAGTCTTTGATTCATTAATTTACTTAATAGCTTCCATAAATACAGTGATCTTTGTATGTGCCAAGCATGGATAGGTGGTCATGCTTTATTTCATACTTACAGCAAAACTATGGGGCAGAGTTTTTTGGTTGCTGCTTTGTGGATGACAAAAGCCAAAGCCCAGAGAGATTAAGAAGCTGGCCAAAGTCCCACAGAGAGCAAGATGAAGGTGCCACGAGCAATGGGATGCTACTGTTAGGAAGATTTTTACAATGAGTTCAAAGCTAATTTCCTGTCTTTATCTCTTGCTCCTTTAGTTCATAGCAGAGCATGGGTTTTCTGCTGTTGATATGCAAAGCTGGTTTGGAAGGTCCCTTGATCAGGGAAGAGGTAGAAGGCCCAGGTTTGAGCCAGGAGACTAATCATTGGGACAGTGACAGCCTGGCAGGGCTGGGGAGCCAGAGCTATAACTGGAGAGATGGGCACGTCTAGAAGAAGAAGGGTCATGGAAACGCAAGAGCTGGCACAGCAGCCTGACTATGCAGGAGCTGCGTGTGGACAGGGAGGGTGAAGGACGTGGCTTGGACCACAGACTCTGAGGCCTGGGCAGATGTCCCATTTCTCATGCTATGCAGGGGTGGGCGGTGCAGGCCACTGGGGAATCAGAGACACGATGATATGGGTGCCATTTCAGCAATGATAAAACATTAGCTCAAGGAGGTTTTGCAATTTGCCCAATGTCTTTACCTGACTCTGTCCTGAAAGAGCGGCCTAATAATGGTCTACTGGGATTTGTCAATGTGTTAAGTAATCAATTACATTTCCTATTAGATTTTTATTCTGTGTAGAAAAAGAAATTC